CCGCTGAAATATAATCCTCTTCTGCTTCAACATCCTCGTTCGCTTCTGATTTATTAGCTCTTTTCCCTCTTGGAGGCATTTTAATAGTTGTAGAATTTGTTCAAAGACTTGAAAATGTAGAAGATGTGAAAAATCGTAGAACAGACAAGAGGAGCAGTAAAGACGTCTGCTCTCGCTTGTGACAGAATGTCATCAACATGCCCACTAGCTCCATGTGGATACTCTGGGCTATACGTGGCTATTTTCTCACATGGGCTCACTTGGACATTACGCAGACTTTGTCCTAGGGAGGTGGCAGGGTAAAGTCCGCTTAAAGTCCATGTGGACTAAATGGGACATTTGCGTTCTCACACGCAGCTCCCCCGGGCAATGTCTAGAGAATTTCAGGGTACCAGTGCATGTCTGAAAGCTCAAGTAATGCAAAACTATGTGATTACTGTGTTTTCCTTGGATGACTGTGTCTTGGATGCTTTTGTTATATGTTGTAAATTCTTCCTGATTCTTCACATTTTAACTGTGAAGACTAGCAACCACTGTAGTGGAAGCAAACTGGGTCAACCTAAAATAAATATTTCAGTCTCCTATGGACCTTGTGGTACTGGTACAGAAACTGTGTATTTACCATTATTTAATTTTCATTTCTTTCTGGATAGTTATTCTTAAAATTCACTTGTTCAGCTAACAGTTTCCCCTGCTTCCAGTCATTGTGCTAAGCTATGCTAACAGTTTTCCCCTGCTTCTAGTCGTTGTGCTAAGCTATGCTAACAGTTTTCCCCTGTTTCCATTCATTGTGCTAAGCTATGCTAACAGTTTCCCCATGCTTCCAGTCGTTGTGCTAAGCTATGCTAACAGTTTTCCCCTGCTTCCAGTTGTTGTGCTAAGCTATCAGTTTTCCCATTTCCAGTTGTTGTGCTAAGCTATGCTAACAGTTTCCCCCTGCTTCCAGTCTTTGTGCTAAGCTATGCTAACAGTTTCCACATGCTTCCAGTCTGGCTTCTGTCTGAGAGTGCAGGTGTGCACGGGGGTGTCTGTCTCACCTTGGATGGGTCTGGGGACAAAGTGTGAACAGGCTTTGGTTTTCTTCACTCGGTTTCCCTTCATGATGATGCCCTCCTTGTTGAGACCCAGGAACCAGGCGCGGCCTGACTCGTGCTGCCGATACAGTGTGGATGAGTAGATGACATAGTAGTTCTCAAACACCGACTCCTTGAACTTACACTCTGGTGTGAAGATATCCTGACACACACAAACACAGAGAGGGACAGGTTTCAATTCAGTCTTGTGAACTTCTTGCAATTTTAATGATTTTATTCTGACGTTGGTGCACTGTGTAAACACAGACTTAACCCCAGTCAAAGCCTTTTGTTGAGAAACACGACTGAACAAAATGAATGTAAGGGCCCAAATATCCCACTGTGGACCTTATCTCCAAAAAGCTGTCCTCTGTAGTAACGTGTGCATGTGCCAGCCATATTGTTTCCTTACTGGAACACAGCATCGAAGACTACATCATCCATGTTGGTGCAGACCGGACAGAAACTGGGATCAGACTACTGACGTTTATATGATGGACAAGGCGTCACTACTTCCCTCCATCATGCAAAAATGAAGCCAATATATCGTGAATATGGCGGCTGCCATCTTGCTTTTTTGCATCAGATGTCAATCAAAGTTGTCAAATCAACTGAAACACACCCCTTTTTATTTCATCAAATACCTTATTAAAAACAACCTGACCAGAGCAATGACCACTTGTGCCCACATCAGCCTGATAGTATCTACTGAAAACCACAGAAGTGACCTCTGGGAAACATTTATCTGATTCGTACTTTGAGTTTTTATTTTGGCTCATGTCCCATCCACTAACATGGAGGGGGCGGGGTTTATGACGTGTACAAGCCACCAGGGGGCAATCGACTCACTGTAGCATCACTTCTGTTAGCTCTTGGCCTGTCTGTTGTTTTTTACAGTCGATAAATCAGAAAGGACCAGTTCTGGAGAAGTTGATGTTGGTACAGTCCTAAGTTTAGTGCACTGCATCCCCCCTAGGTATGACAGGTGTGTGTGTGTGTGTGTGTGTATGTGTGTGTGTGTGTGTGTGTGTGTGTGTGTGTGTGTGTGTGTGTGTGTGTGTGTGTGTGTGTGTCCTCAGGGCAGAACAAACACACACACACACACACGCGGCAACAACCTGTGCTAGCACTAAACCCTCACCACATGTTTTCTCCGGTGAGGAGGCCGAGTCAGTTTTAGGGAGCTACGCTGCACCTTTGTGTCATTACAGATCATTTCGCCATCAGTTAATCTGCTCATTTTCTGATTTAATTCACACGTTTGGTTGAGAAAATGACAGAAAATATTGAAAAAATATCAATAACCAATCACCTGATCAACTAAGTGATGGTGTGGTGACACAGTGGACACTGAAAGGGGACTGCTGTGAAAAACGGGGCTTTCAGGGACCCAGCATGTGAAGTGTGCGTGTTTGCAGCCAAACATTTAGAAAACTAACTCCACATTATTCTTCTCACAACAGGCGTGTGAACTTGGATTTCTCCAAAACGTTTTCTGCTCATTTAAACCCCCAGAGCACAGCCAGAGATTTTGGACTTATCTTTCAAAACACTTCAAATGTTTTCTTGAATTCAGGAAAAACTATTTTAGCATTTTGTTATTTCAGGCACCTGAAAGTCAGTGGTGGAACTAGTCAGAGTCAAGTTTGCACTTCTGCTCCACTAATTTCATGGGAAACGTTTAACTTTTCATTGCACTACATTTGTCTCACTAATTATCAATTTAAACTGAGAGATGCTTTTAAAATATGATATTGTTATAAGTGAAAGCACAGTGGAGTAGCGCTGAAGCGAGCAGTCGATTAACTGTTTCATGGTTTAAGACATTTTTAACACTTCATGGTAGCAGCAAATTAAGTTTTGGATCATCAGGAGGAATCGTTACAATCACTTCATCACAAAATAACCGTTAGTTTATTTGATAGTCCTGTACAAAACACTGCAACAGCCACACACTGTGCACACATTACTGCATGTGCAGGCTAATAATAATCTGATGATATTCAATAACAGAAGAGTCACAGGACCATTTTTTACTTTTACTTCTGATACTTGATTTGCCTGATTATACTTTTTCTTTTAATGAAGTAACATTTACAACGCAGGACTTACTTGGAACCCAGTAGTTTTACAGTGTGGTATTTGAACGCAAGGACCTAAATACTTCATCCACCACTGCCACTCAAACTCCAACATGTGGTTTGCGTCTGGACAGTGACGTCTGTTACAGGCTTTTACACCTGAACTCAGTAGGTGTGGGAAATCAAGACAATAAACTGTTCCTGTGCAGAGGGAAGACTGTGGTGGAGGCCTGGAGCATCACTAGTGTGGTAAGCAACTAGACTGGGTCTTACAGGATGCAGCACATGATTTTCTCTGCTGTGGTTACTTTGCACAAACATCGTCTGGAGACTAACTTCTAATCCACACTGAAAGCGTTTTGTACGAGTGTGTCACACTCGTTCGTTATGCTGTGCACACAGCGACTGAAGAACTGCACTTTAACCCGTTATGGAAGGAGCAGACATGACAAATGGGTGACGGATGGACTCGCTGAGGAGAAGCAGCAGTTTTTGGTCTGCGCCACAGACTGACCAGGGCTGTCCACTTCATTAATGTCACCATTAATTGTGACTGTCTACCAAGATGTTTCAGTCACATGGGGCTTTGTGTTCCTGAAACAGGGCACAGCAAGGACTTGTGTCCAGGCACACGGCGCGTATGGGCGTGTCCAGCAGTGTCCTGCAATGTTGGTGACCACAGGCGCAGTGCAGTGTTGTGTGAGGCATTACCAGTGTGTGTGTGTGTGTGTGTGTGTGTGTGTGGTGTGCTGTAAAAACATCAAATAATCAAATTCCATTACTTCACAATAAACTCCTGTTTCACCGTAAAGGTCTTTGAGCTACATCACAGTAAAAATCTCCATCTGTGCCACAGTGTGCAACTGAACCAGGCCTGTAGTTCTGGGCACAGCTCAGAGTGAAATCACTGGATTCCTATGGGATAGAGCGTGTGAACCTTTTGACATAGTGTTTCTAAAGAGTTAAAAGTTGTTCCATTTATTTTCAAGCATGTGCACTGTAAGACAAAGTTGATCATTTGATTGTGAGGCTGACATTCTTTATGTTGAGAAAAACAGCTGCCACTGCGCAGACAGACAGACAGACAGACAGACAGATGGCCGGGTGCTCTTACTGATGTGTAGAGGAACCCCTCTGCATTCATGGCCATGTAGAGAGCAGCCTTCACTCCCTGGATGGCCACAACCCTCAACCCTACTGGGATCAGGTTAAACAGAGCTGGAGGGCGACAGACAGGCAGACAGAGACACAGAGAGAGAGAGGTGGTTACTAGAGAGGCACGTTTAATGTGCTTCAGTACAACACTTCATTAATGTCTGAAAGAATTTCAAACAAAATGTCTTCTTGGTTAAATCTTTTCTGTGAAACAGTCAAACATCAGATTTAGAAGAATCAGTACAATCATCTGGTTCTTAAAATGACTCAGATGTTCCCGCTCTGTGTTAAAACCCATCACATTACAGCTCTTTAAACTCTGCTGGTTGGATCAGTGGTTCAGATCCATCTGCAGCCTCCTGGACGTGACACCGATGCACCCAGAGACAGACACACCAAATACAAGGGGGAGAAGGATGAAGTGATGAGAGGTGATTTAATTCTTAGGGACTCAGAGCTGCAGTGTGAGCGAGGAGGAGGAGGAGGAGGCCTGTGGCGATGGCTGCTGTTAATCCTTCATTTAACTCTGAGATGATCTGAGAGAGAGAGAGCGGGGAATCCAAACCATTTCCACCTCCTCCTCCTCCTGCCCTTTTCTTCTCCTTTACAAACCAGAGGGGAGGTTTAACAGGAAGCAGCAGCATCTGAAATCCTGAGCTCATCCAACAGACATGTGATCAGGTCAGGCTGTTTTCCTAAAGACTCGACTCTCATTTCATGATCAGTCTCACAGGTTTCTGCACAGTGAAGAGCAGCTGCTTTATCAAGTAACTCTACCTAGAAGCTGCTGAGCGAGGCAGACATATTGTTAAACCTAAATTAGAGCTCAAATCCAGCAGTGAGTGTTTGTACAGGCTTCATGAGTATTTACACTGGTCATCATGGACGTCACAGCGTCTGTGTGTAACTTCTGTATGAGGAACAGACTTCGTCTCTGGCTGTTCCTTCTCAGTCCTGTGAAAGCAGCGGCTACATTCGGCTGTGAGTCGACTGATAAACGTCTTACTGCTCCTACTCGGTCGACAGGTACGTCAGACACTTTGTGCTGCAGTTTAATGACTACAGGTAAAAAGTGGAGGTGAAGCAGCAGCAGAGACTCACTGTAGTCGCTGTTCTCATCCTTGTTTCCGCTGATATTTCCATCAGGCATCATCTGCAGGAAGAAGCCATGCTCGCTGAAGAGTCGCGTCACTATGCCCTTCAGCTGCGGCTCTGAAACACAGCAACAACAGCACACACACATTCATCAGCGTCAAACTTCAGAGGCAGTTATAAGGCTCATTCATCTCGTCTAGCTTCTCTTCATCCCATCTAATATGATCTCGATATTTCATGTCATCTCACCTGAACCCACCTGGTCTCGGCTCATCTTAGGCCACAGCTTCTTACCGGTCTTCTCTCATTTTGTTTTCTCCCATCTCAAAGCTAGGCTTGGCCATTCCTTCCAGGAGCGTTTTTGTTACATACCTTGAAATTCTCTTTTCACCCCAGTGGCAGTGGACACACTAAACGCACCACCGACATAAAGAAACAAGTCCATCATCTGTGGCAGCAGCAGGGCGGTGACAGCACAGATGCCCAACAACACCAAGAGTCAAACAATGAAGACATACTGCACAAGAGGATTTGTCACACACCTACATACTGTACAAACACACTCACAGCTGTACTTAAAAACTGATTAAATACAATGACAAATATAAATAACATTAATGTCATCATTGTGACTGAGAGTCCGACCAGAGGCCACACAAAGCAGCACCATCGTCCACTGAGGCTCTGTGTCCAACGGACAACATAAAACTCCGTAACCTCACATTAAATGAACTCTTATGAAACTGTAGTGGTTTAAGTAACATGTTAATATGGATTATATAGTGGTTATGGGTTCATTAAGTTCATGTGAGCTGAACAATGAGCTTATATAAGTTGGTCAAGATGTTTCCTGTTTTTGAAGTACATCCCAGGGTGTTGTCTCCAAAAACTGAAGACAGGAAGCTAAGGTCAGAAATTGATGTAACAGCCTAAGGAAAGCTGCGGATAAAAGAGTGAGCCTATAAAGGAAGAAGAGAGGATGAGAATGCTATCGTGAAAGTGTACCGCAGACCCAGCCGGGGGGCTGGGGGGACCGGGGGAATGCTGACTGACTAGACCTTGTAACCAAGACTGACTGGCGCTGTGACTCTGACTCTGTTTCCCTAACTACCAGATTACCTGTTTAACTACTACTCTATTCAGAATAATTGTAATATTAAATGATCCTTTAAATTGGGATGATTTGTCTGAATTCATTTAGTCTGCATCACACTCTAGCCACGACAAACCTTGGTGTTGTCTCTGCAGGTAGGAGTCTAAGTTGGGAGAATTTTACATTTAATCTTCCATCTTGACTGTCCTCAAAGAATTTGTGTAAAGGGAACCAAATAACTTGATTTTATTCTGACAGGTGGTGGTGGACTGCTGCGATCATTAACACTAACACTATTACTAACACTGATGTAAATAACTTGCTTTAAATGTTTGCAGGATACATTGGTGTTGTTTTTACATGTCTGTGTTTATGTGATTGTGAAACAGCCTATTAGGATTGACAGAGAAAAAGGTATAAGTGTCAGACAACAGATTGAACAGCGTGAAATTATGAGTTATAAATGTGTCTGCATCTGATTAAATTTTATGGTGAGGCTGTGTAGCAGAGGTCTGTCCTATTTGTGGGTCTACAGTTAGGATTTGCTTTGTATAACTCAAGTAGGATTGGGAATTAAAAAGCTGTTAATGTAGGATTGAATATTTGTAAATTTTGCAGTAAAGGTCTTGTGTTTCTGTAGAGTAGGCAGATCTCTGCGCCCCTGCAGTTTGGGATTTGGCCGTAAAGTGATTATGTTACTCCACTAATTACAGACATATAACTGAATGGGACTGCAGGGTTGAGTGTATGAAACTGGGTGTTTGTCCAGACTTGATCAGTTTGGATTATCCTGGTCTTTCCTGCAGGGAAACGGTTCATACTTGGCCAGAACAGAGATGAAATTCCCACTCAAAGCGCTTTCTGTATATGAATAAGTCCGGACTTTAATATGTCTTTGAATATGTGAACATATATTTGTTTGGTGTTGTGTAATTGGCTGTGATGTGTGTCTGGTGAGGGACAGAGGGATGACTGATAATTGTGTGTATTGCAATTTTTTGTTGTTTTTGTGTCAATTTCATGTGTTTTCAGATTGTTTACTGCGTTGCTGAGGTGAGTACAAGACTTATTTTCTATTTTTGTGAAACAATGAGTATGTGGGGAGTGTTTCTCCCCCTCTTTGCTCCGTTTGTGTGTGTGTTCTGCTACCTACTTCCTGTATGATATGTGTGTGAACTGCTCACTCTGTGGATGTGTGTGTGTGTGTGTGAAGGTATAGCATTTATTAATATTGTGTAAATAAGTAACTGTGTGTTTGTGCTGGTTATTGTTGTTTTAAGGAAAACTAGAGAACTGCAGCCAGTTGGGTGTTAGAACTTATGGTTTGGAGAAGCTCAATTGTGAGCTATAAATAAATAAGAGTGTCTGGAAGGGATTTAAATAAAAACTTTATGATATGGCTGCAAAGCAAGACTTGTACTGCTAGTGGGTCTACAGCAGTTTGGAGCTCACAGAGTAGTCACACTGTTTGGATAAGCTAAATCATATCTTAAGGTGACTGGTGAAATTATAAGAGAATCTGTAGTAGCAGACGACTGGCGTCCTCGCAGTTACCGTTTTGGTTAAATTTGTTTGGTGTACTTAACAGTTTGGAGAGTAATAAATTGAATTAGTTTAACTGCGAGGGGGGTATGACGCTGGAAATTCATCTGACCTGATCAGTTGGACCGAACCTGGCATACTTCATACAGTTCTTGGCCAAGTATATTAATCTAATTAATTGATTGTAGTGTTTTGTGTCACTGGACGATAAATGAATGTGCAGTATCAAGGGGCTTGAATAGATTATCTTTTTAAGGGGGTTCAGGGGTTAAAACAATACCCTTAACATTAACCAAATATCAGGAACCTTTCCCTCAGTTGTTACTATAAAGAGCCTTAAGTTTACAATTAAGGTGAAAACCCTGAGAAAGCTGCTTTTTTATAACTCTGACCCCTTTAAAAACCTCCTAAAATGCCCTGAAAACCGCTTATCTTCTGGTTAAGTCAGATTTGGGCTGAATCTGTGAATGTGCAACTTGAAGGAAAAGTTCAGGTCTCCTTAACATATAAATTAAAGGGTGTCTTTAACTGTTTGTAACCGTTAATGGGTTTGTAGAGGAGCTGAATGTGAAGTCAGCGCTGACTCTCTGTCACACAGGACATCTGTGAGTCTGCAGGGGGAGAGTGACGCACTCTGGGTGAAGATGACGAGGCCTTTAAAACTCCAGTTGACAAATCAGTCACATATAAGACTGAGATGAGCAAAACTCTTCAAAGTAATACAAACCATGTGACTGTTCAGAAGCAGAAAACTCACACAGTGACGACAGATAAAACAGATGTTTACAATGGAAACAAGCACCAGAATCACTTTATCATGTTCTTAACAACTGTGAACAGCAACCGTGACCTCATTGAGAGGAAGCAGAGTGTTCACAGTTCACAGTATCATCGAATTCTGAATGACTTCTACAAACCAGTGGCCACCAATCAGCCAGGTGAGACCTGATAACAGCTGCACAGATGTTACTGTAGAACAGAGCTCCAGCATTTAAGCCAGTGTCAACACAACGAGCACCAAAGTCCAACAAGGCTTCAGTGGCGGAGACAAAGCGGTGATGGTGAAGTGAACACACCCGGTGTTCAGCATCTGATTTCTTTACTCCTCACTGTAGACCCTGCACACGTTAAAGAGGTCAACATCTGCAGATGGTAAACTGGGAAAGGGCCAATCAGGCAGCAGTGCTGAATAACACTTCCTCTGCTGTGCTGCCAGGAAAACATGAGGCAGCGGTAAAGGCAGCAGCAGGGCGTAGACTCATACACGTGTAAGTGTTGAAGCCCGTCCAGCAGCACGACATGCTGCGTCTCCTCCTGCTCTCTGAGACGTTAACATGTCCTCAGGAGGGAATGCTGCTCCAGTTCAGGCCCTCTTTTATCTTGTTATTCTGCAGGAGGAAACTGAAGCTTCTTCTGTTCTTTATTTCTCCAGAGGGAAACGGTGCCAAATTCATCACCACACAAGCAGGAGCAGCATTAAATATTTACAGTGAAAGTTATGCAGTTTAATGCAACTTCTACCTGGCTTTCAGTTTCTTCTGTATTTCTGAAACAACAGGAATCTGTGATGAACTATTTAAAGCTCCACGGCTGTAAGACTCCATGTGGAATCAAACTCATGAGGACGTGTTCTCACTAATGGAAGGCCGGTAGACTAAAAGCTTGGTATATGCTATGTTTATCATGACTGTAAATGGGAGGACCCAGACCCAGATTCGGGACCCTCCTAAGGTGAGGAAACAGGGTTTTAATGGTAATAACATGAATACTGGTGAGCAAATTACTGATGACACACAGCAGCAAGAAAATGGTGCCAAAACACAGGGGACGACCAACACCGGTGGGTAAGAATGACGGCTGGCTCAGGATAACACAAGAAAACCCAGGTAGAGTACTTGACTCAGGTAAATAAAGTTTAACACAGGTCACACACCTGAAAGTGGCCGTGATGCATACGAACAACCAGAGAAGGGAACAGGCTAATTCATGGTCACAGGAGCGGCAACAGTTCATATGCAGACAGGTGTGACCTTTCAATGCTTGGACCGTGCTAACATGTTCACAACATAGTCTGTATAATTGATGGACAGGCTGACAGCTCCCAGAGATGAATTCATCATGAGTCAATTGCCCCCTGGTGGCTGGCCACAGTATAAGTCACGCCCCGCCCCTGGTGGCTGGCCGCACTATAGGTCAAGCCCTGCCCCCTCCATGTCAGTGGCTGGGACATGAGCCAAATGAAAATCTCCGAGCACAAATCAGACGTATATTTCCCACAGGTGATTTCTGTGGTTTTTGGTAGATATTATCAGTCTGGAGTGCGTACAAGCCATCGTTGTTCTGGTAAGTTTGGTTATTTGATGATATAAAAAGGGCAACTGACTTGAAAGCTTTCATTGGCGGACTGATGCTGGTACTCCACTTCTCATCTTTACTGCAAAGAATGTGGTTGCAAAGTGCCAAGATGTCAGCCACGGTGCTAACATTTGCTAGTTAGCAAAACTCTGAGGATCACTCTTAGAGTTTATCCTGAGGGGAACATGAACATCTGAGCCACATTTCATCACAGTCATGCTGGTGGTGTGGGTACAATCTGTAAATATGTTAGTCTATATTTCTGTACGTCAGTAACAATTGCTGCTCACTGTTTCCAAAGAGAAATTCTGACAAATAAGTAACACCTGGTTAGAATCACTGAGTGACGTATGTGAGTCCGGTGAGCCCCAGACCACACACTCGGTCTCCTGGGTGATTCTCTGGCTGTAGTGTGGCATGTGCAGGAAGCGTGGAGGGCAGCCAGTCTCCTCAAAAGCCGGTATCAGCAGCAGCTGAGTCAAATTAGGATGAGTCAAAGTGAGTCAGGGAGAGTCAAGTCTACAGGATCATACTAAACAGTCTCAGCAGATAGCGCCTACAGCTGAGCTGTAGTATCAGTTAAACTGTGACACTGTTTATAATGGTTCCAGTTAGGCTGGCAGACAGTTTGTAACATAAAACGCCAGCAGGCAGGAGAAGGTAGGACCTTTGTCCAATGTTGAGCTCAGAGTGTGAATCAAAACCCACCTGGTTTCCGGCGCACAGGTCGTTTCTTTCGGCTGCAGAAACGAACTTTGCTGAAGACGCTGAAGAAGTGTCTCTCACACAGAGACCTTGGGTCTTTACTGGGACTCGAGCGTCTCTTGTTGGTGGCGACCTTGTCGCTGTTGGACTCACGAGCCTGACGCTTCTGTCTGATCAGGGAGCTGGCGATGGCAGCCGCCATCTCCCTGAGAGGAGGACAGAGCCACTGAAGACAAAAGATCTGCTCTGTGTCCTGAGCTTGAGGGTGATCGCGCCTCAGTGCAAAACCAGTGACATGTCTAAGAATCCAGTCCTTTGAGTTTGGATAAGCATGACCTGGCTAATGGTCGTTCCATGATGAGAAACTGCTCCACAACACTAGTGATCCACCTTGAGAAGCAGCCAATGCCTGGATTTCACATGATCAGGTTTAAATTCACCACTAAAATTTACCAAATGTTAAGAACTTAAACAAGACAATGTGTTTTATGCACATTAGTCTTTCTGACAGGACCGTCTTGAGATGTTCCGATGAATTAGCTCAGACAATTAGACTTTCCCTGTTATTAGGAAATGTATTTAACATGAACATATATGTTCACAATTTGTAGCTTTTACCAAAGGGTGCGACAAAACGCCAGCCATGAAGACTACTCACAGGAAACAGAATCTCTTCAGGCTGAAGGATTTTAACTGTGTTATTTCAGCAAATTTTATATTTAAACAAATCTATAAAAATGTCACGCCAACATGTTTGAGCATCTACAAATCCAAGAAGATCTGCAGTATGGTCAAAAGCTCAGTCCCACAAGCCAGTAAGTGGACTTCACCAACCAAAATGTTCCAGCTGGTTTCACACCAGTCTCCGATGTTCTCTTATACGTTATGCAGAAAAATGATTTGCAAATGGGGAAAAAACATTAAATGATTGGGTTATCGATTTTCTTTTCAGTACTTCTTGACCGACTGACGTGTTCCCAGTATGACTCCTGGTTTTGAAAGTGACAAACAATGAATCCTGGATAATTTATCGGTTTAGCTGTCCTCCATCTCAGCTGGAGTCTCCGTCCACCACCCAATGAATCACAGGGCGACCTGTGTCTCCATGTCTCTCAGGTTGTTTCAGGAACAAGAGGGCAACATTGCGCGTTCACTCGTCCATCTGCAACTTTCAGAGATGTTTTCAGAGAATCAGCAACAGCAGAAATGCAGCAAAGTTCAAAATAATCCCAGAGCAGATTACACTGCTCGACTCTGTTCTGCTCTGTTACTCTGCTGTGTCCTCCTCCTCCTCCTCCTCCTCCGCTTCGTCCTCGCAGGCTGAAAGCTGCCGAATGTGATGAGAGGCTGAGAGGGAGGCTCGCTGAGAGAAGAGAAAAGAGAGCAGCTGTCAGCAAGCGAGAGAGGGAGTGTGAGGACTAGTCAAAGAGAGAGACGGGAGGTGGAGGTGTGGAAGAAGCTCCTAAAAATATTCTGCCTGATGTTTCATGTTGCTCTCACATCAGACCACTTTACCTTCGCACCTTCACTTCGTCATCCTGATACACCAACACGGTTTGGCCCTGAGGGCTGGTTCCATTTTGGATCCATCCCCGTTTCTGTCATATTCAGAAACACTCCAGATGAGATTCAAGTCACGTCCGTGTCAGTGTTGCTCAGATCACAAATCTGGCTTCAGGCTCTCTTTGTAAATCAGGGTCACAGGAGCTGGTGGTAGCGGACAAAAACACCAGAAGAACAAGGACTTCCGACCTTTAGCAGTTCGGTTACATTCATGCGATGCACTGACAATGAGATTTTTAGAAGTCAGATATCTAGGTGATCTGCTCAAGATGCATGATGTGATGCTGATCTCTGATACCAACAAATCTCCTGCTGATTAGCAAACGGTAGAAGTACAGATGTACCATCCAGCTCCTTTCTCTTCTTTGTCCCAACCAGGCATCGGTAGTTCACGTCGCAGCTTCAGGGAACAGGACACGATGGGAGGAGCAAGTGGTTTGTTTTGACCCTCCAGGCTGAAAGGAAATGAGGCAGAGTAGCTTTACAACCAGGTAAAACAAAATCTGTGGCGTCCCAGTTCCCAGATACCAGCTGCTCTGCTGTCCTGTTGGAGGCTCTGACTGCAGGGTTACATAAACCCGCTGCATCTTCACAGCAGCAGAGGAGCCTCACGAACACGTCGTCAGGGCTGAATAACCATGAAATCTGTTCTGAGGGATGAAACGCTCTCGGAGCCCGCAGCTATTGGCACGATCTGCCTCTCAGCCAGAGGCCTCCGTTTCCCGGCAGGGGTGATTCACTCATCTCACTGTCGACACGGGAGAGAAACATGGCCTCAGGTGCAACGACAACGTCCTGACAACACTGATCCCAGGTCTGTGGACAGGTGGAGAGACGACTGACAAACCTCTCTAACAAGTGAAGAGGACGCATTACACACTGTATCTAATTACATGTACAGATGTAACACTGCAAGTTTCATTATCAATTAACCTGCTGATAGTTTTGTGGATTGATTGAATCAGAAAATGGTCAAAAATCAGTTTTACTCCCTCGTGTTTTATTTGTTCATTTTATTTTGATTTTATCATCTTACTTTCACATATTTTATACCTTATGTGTAATTTCATGATTGAAGTCATGTGCATTCCTCTCATTGTTTTTTTAAATGTCATTTTTGATGTTCACATTTATTCTGTCATTTGTCAGTCCTCTGTAAAGTGCTTTGAACGGCATCAACCTGTATGAACGGTGCTAATTGATTAGTACAGACGGGTAGACGGGTTTTGATTGATCGATCTTCAGACGTCTTGTTTGTCTGAGCAACAGTCGAAACCCCAAAGAGATTCAGAGGCAGAGATTGACTGTAACATGAAACAGAAAAGGAAGTGCTTTTCAAAATAGTTGCTGATTAATTTCTGTTGATCAACTGATGAAAGGGCAAACTGCATGGAGGAGTGGGCTGAACCTCAGCTGCGACTGGCTGCCGGTGATGAGTGTGGAAGGGACAATTAGCTGTGAAGAGCTCGTTACACAATCCAGTTATCAGCTGCGGAAAGGATGAGTCACAGACAACAAACATGGAGTCATCCTCATCATCATCATCACCACAGTGTGACAGAGGTCAACTGTGAAGTGGACAGTGAAGAAGAACAGTTATTTGAGTGTCCGTGTAAAACTGCCTGGAGCCACAAATTCAACAGACACACACAAAACATGACAACGTAACCAAGCCGACGCTAAACCCGAGTTCACATCAGAGAAAGTCTCACGGGTTCTTACAAAAACAATCACCGACTCAGACTGTTAACATCCATCAACAGTTTACAGCGAAGTTTGCACTAAAAAGGACAAAGAAGAAGAAAAAGGTTTGGGTGAAACCCAGATGAAGGGGTGTGGACAACGTGGACAGTGGTCCACAGAGAAAACTAGACTCCATCAGTCCTGCTGTGTCTGTGGTTTAACGTCGTCATCCTCCTGCAGAGTTCGGTTTTTCCTTCCCTTTCAGCTGTCATTATGTCTTTCACCATGAAATAGCTCTTTCTGAGCTTTTCTCATGTCAGGTAATGAGTGACGGGGCGACAGGAGCGACTGCTGCTGGTTCTGAGCTAAGAGGTTTCATGCTGGCGAGCTCAGCTGCTGCACACGGGGATGGGGAGGTGACCCTTTCTACAGCGTTATTGTTTCCTGACTTTGTCATCACAGGTCGCTGCATATTTTACAGCAGATGTTGTTCTTTTGCTTTTCCAGCTGTAAAAATCCAGCTCTTTTCCAGAACAGCTGCCATGTGACCTCACCGGTTTGTGTGCGTTGACGTGTTTCGGCCCTACATGTGTCGAACACTGGGGTTTAACAGGGCGACACATCAGTCTACCATTGTCATCGAGGAGATGCTTACCATTATAGTTAGAGATTCATTTGGCTCAACAGTTGTTTTAAATACCAGGCTTTTATTGTGAAAAATATTTGGTAACACAATAACCGGGCCTGTGATTTACATAATGTTGTTATAGGAATCAGTTATTTTACAGGTCCTGTGTTTTCCAGCTAATTTCCTGGAAACTTTCTTCATAATTTCCTATAAATGAGCTGTAATTACTAGGAAATGTGCAGGACAGGCTCGTGCACTTTGATATGATTTATAAAGGAAATGGAGAAGGTGTTGGCTGTGACAGTTTTTAGTACCTGCTTGTTAGATTCCAGATTTAAAGTGGAGACCAATTCATAGACTGATAAACATCCAACTGGAAAGACTAGCAGTGAAAATCCCTAATCGTTGGACACAGTCAGTTTATTTTACTGGTCTAGTCCGAGGAAATTAAGTAGAAATGTGATTATAAAACTGATGAGTGGGAATTCCCACTACAGGTAAACAGGGAAACTAGCTGGAGAATAAGGGAGCACCAACTGTGTATATTAGAGGAAAGAAGAATGTGAATGCTGCTTTGTACAAGGCACAGTACTGTGTCAGAAAAGGATGCCAACACCTTTCTTATTGTGTAAATAAAGAGGAGAAAAGAGGAGAACAGTCGCAGTTGGTGCCAAAAACAACACTGTTGCTTATCAGCTTTAGATTTCTGTCCTTGCAAAGACATTTTAGGATCTGGTGGTGGTGACGAAACAGCGTAGAGGGGTGAGGTGGCAGGTCTGGTGAAATGGTGTGGGGAGAAAAATCTCACCCTCAACACAGAAATGTGGGCATGAGAAAGGACAGGAGAACTGCTGCTGACCATCCGTGGGCTCGAGGATGAGGCAGTGAACACTTTTAAACTCCTGAGCGTCTACATCAGTGACGACCTCACCTGGACACCTAACACCTCCCAGCTCGTCAAGAAAACACAACAGTGACTGAGGACATGTCACCGAAGATCCTCAGCAGCTTCTACAGAGGCATCACTGAACGGGCTGCATCACTGTGTGGGACGGGAACACCGCTGTAACGGAGAAGCACCGACAGAGCGTGGTGAGGACTGCTGAGAGGATCATCAGGACGCCACTTCCCCTTCTGCAGAACATGTACCACCACAGAGTCCACAGGAGAGCCTGCTCCGTTGTTAAGGGTCCACCCACCAACACAGAATGTTCACACTTCTGCCCACTAGCAGGAGGTGCAGAGGTGTGAAATGCCGGACGCCCAGACTGAGGAACAGCTTTGACCGTTAAACAGGTCCCAGACTGAGGAACAGCTTTAAACAGGTCAGATAGTCACCAGACTGAGGAACAGCTTTGACCGTTAAACAGGTCAGATAGTCACTGGCCTTGACACCACCCGGAGCGATCTCAGCACATTCTGCCACCAGGCTTCACCATCAACGTCCCCGCCCTTTCCCATACACACACACACCCCAACCAAATCAACACAACCTGTGGTTTGCACAGACACTTAATAAGACCACAAGTCTCTACTACTGTTATTTATTACTGTACATGGTGTATATTTATCACTGGAACTGATAATTGTACGTTTGGTACTGATACTGCACATTTCACACTGCTGCTTTCTTTCTGTACATCTTTTTTCAAAAATATTTTACTTTATTCTTATTTATTTGTTTTTCTAACGTTTAATGGCACTCATAGTAGAAGGCAAAGGAAGAATTTCTTTGTACAAGGAAACTTGTTTCTTTATTGTGCATATGACAATAAACACTCTGAACTTTGGAATCAATTTTTTTTTATCAGAACACTTCATCTTGAAAACTGAAATGCTATTAGAACAGTGAAATGCTCCAGCAACATTCACTGACCTGATGAAAAGCAGGAAACCAACAGTAAACTGAATATTTTAGGGGGTGTTTCAGCTCTGGAGTCCTGTGACGTGCAAACACTTTGATGCTACAAAGTCTAATCCTCCACAGGGAACCGCTTAGTTTCTGGGCCTGAGGCCGAGGTGTCACGAGCCCTGTTGACAGATCGAACCGAAACGGATCATGCTGTCAGTTTTCTGGCATATGGAGAATGTGTCAGTGAACGCACCATCATGCAGAATGTAGGCCTACACTTCCAGCAGAAAAAAACAGGTAGGTGTCTTTAATTACTGTGTATTTGCATCCTCATAGCTGCACAGCGGGACAGAGCAGAGAGAAACATCCTCATCTCCATCATTCTTTTACTGTCACATTTTGTAATTTGAGGGCTCAAATGCAGACCAGAGGCAAAGTGGTTGTGATGAAAGTGCGAACAATGACTAACACAGGTATGCAGCAGGCAAACTTCAGCACAGGTAGGTGTGATGGTGGGTACTGTGGTAGACAAACGACACAGGCGGAGAGCAGACAACCCACAGATACACAGGTTAGAACGACAAGTTAAACAGCAGTCAACACAGGGAGCAGACTAGTTGTGGTACAGGTCCAGGAAAACAGTTCAGACAAGGGACAGACAAATAACCAGATCCAGGGAGACATGAATGTCCACACACAAGAAAAGCAAGCAGACAACTAGGGACAGAAAGCCGACCAGAAGTCAGGAGGGAGCAAATGTCCAAACACTGCTGATTCTGTCAGGTTTGCTCGGCTGCACCTGCCTCTCTCACCTCCCTCTCTTTGTTTTTCAATCCCTGATCACGTCACCTTGCACACCTGCCACTCATTTCCCTAATTGACACCAGCTGTTTTCACTCAGTCCTTCACCTTATTTATACCCAATTCACTTTCCACTCCCTTACCAGTTCGTCGTGTTTTCAGGCCAACAACCAACGCCATTCTCTCACTCCTTCTCTTAGTCTTGTTACCATTGGGTTTTGTTCTTTCAGTCTGTCTACCCTGCCTCGTTCCTCAACCATCCTCCACGGACCATTCTCCTCCAGACCATTACTCCACTCCACCCTTCCAGCCTCCACCAGCCAGGTCGGTACACAGTCATCAGATCCCA